CAATTCAAGAGGTACTTTGCGTTTCCAAACGACGCGTCGACATGACCGAACTGTTCAGTTTGGCACGACTTTGGTAGCTTTCATGAACAAAAGGACAAATATGAGATGAAATGTAAGTGGTTTAAGACACAAATGAACAGTTATCTAGTAAGAGACCACATCCGACATCACATCGCTGATCGCGCCGAAAACAATAAAGAGATAGAACACGCGGTTCAAAGCATGTTGGTGAATGTATGAGAAAGTGGAGAAAAGAAGTCAAACAGAAGAGCGTGTACATCCCAATTTTTTGAGTGTTTATTTGTTTTCGTGCGGGAAACTACTTCCACTTTAACCAAGAAACATTTAAGCACATAAGTAATAGTGCTGAGAGGTTTGATAAAAGGATAAAAAGACCAAACACTCCGCGTTAATCAACCACTTAAAGAAGCGCCATACATTCGACATCGCTATGTAACGAGCAACGCGTACAGAGCAGTGGTCGGAGGCGCTCTTCAATACACATGGAATCGAGCCCCGAGCTCCAGGTTCACCACGCCTTCCATCTCTTCGGGGTCGACAAACTAGTACCAGGCTTGCCTGGGAGGACACCGGCATTGGCTCGATACATCGGTAGGCTACCATGGGTCATCGTAAACGCCAGATATTCATTTAGTCACCTCCAACGATGAATACATGGCGTATTCCACAGGGATTGATCAACATCGAGAACTCTACCCTTCTTATTTCATTAATTCTAATATATAATATATACTTACTTGGATACTTGGATCGCCCGTTCTCACTGGCTGTGCACGCCCCAACATAATCTCCATTTTTCGGAGACTTATTGGTTTAGTCATGGTGTTCCCCTGACGTCCCGAGGCCAGCCTGGCCAATGTCTGGCCCAGGTCGTCACCACCACAGCCAGTTACCGCCCTTGTGGATCAGAGCGAGATTTGCCACAACGCTACTTTGATACCAGGACGGTGGTGGATCTTGGCATTGATTTACTCTTAGCTGGGCTTCCTGGTGGAAACACCGGACTCGTTCTAAACTTGGGAGAACCTGCCGTGGGATGAATACCACTGCCGTACATCGCAGCCCGATACCCAAGAACACCTCCCAGCCACAATGAGGAGGTAAACCGTTGGGAGGTATATAATATATGGTGAAATATAAGTTAGTATACTCCTATATAGTGCATAACATTTGTTTACGATATAACAGTTGCAAATTTATAACATTTAACAATATATTATTAGCTTAACAAGCCAAGAAGGTATAACATTTCTATTCTAGAGAAATAAAATTGCTCATATGCGTCCCTTAAAGACGTTTCCCGCTGTTGCTCATTTAGGCTCATACTTTGAAAACAGAAGCGACTAGATAACCGAAATTTAGTAGAAAAGGACCTGTTGGTGCCTCCCAGTATCTTATCGGTGTTGGTGCCTTTGGTGTTTGCGTTAAAAGTCTCAAGAATCCAAGTTTTAAGCATATCGGGAAATAAAGGAAGAATTGAAAAAACCCCTCTACACTTAGAGCGGTGGTTTAATGCCTGGTTTTGAAGCCGTTTAAAAGTTTCAAATTGTCAACTACTTTAGTAGTTGTCGATAAGTCATTTTGCAGTGCATTACTTCACTACACTTAGTGCACGTCATTTCAAATCCTATTCATTGCTTAACACTTGTCTCGTAACACAATTGCTTTTTAGTGTAACTTTTTCTAACACTTGGAATGGGTCTAGACTTGTTGAAATGATGATGTAACAAGGAAAACGTGCCATTTTACTTCATGGCTACGTAGTCTGACATACAACGACAGAAACAGTGGGAATCGTCACCAAAACATAGGGTAGGAAAGTACCTCGGATCAAATCTTGTACTAAAAGTTCGGAAGTTTCCTGCCGGAAATGTGTGTCTTGATGATGGAGAAAGTCCTAAGTGTTCATAAGAAGCAACGACTACCATTCCAACACTAAAATCGATAATAGTACTCCAAAACTACTCGCTATCACGATTGCCCTTTCCTGATTGAGTGATTGGGTAATTGCTGATGGCAGAGTTAGGTAGAAAGCTAGCTGAGAGAAAGGCAAATCAAGGACCTCAGTGGTGCAGTGCGTAATACGCGCACCACAGCAAAGGGTCAATGTAGTTCGATCTGGCCTGGAGTCGCAGTTTTGCGAATATCTCATCATCATTATGGCAAGTCAATATATTAGTAAAAAGATGGATGTTAGCCAACCAAGAACCATACACCGAAAGACCCCAAAAATGCGAGATATCTTGACAAGTAGATGCTAAACGATTCCCAGAAAAAATCGCTGTGAAGTACACCGTTTTCTTTTTTTTTGCAGAAAACAATGACCAATTTCTTGACAGTACTGTGGAAACGAATATACCGTACTACAAAGGACTACTACTGCTGTACTACATTATAAGGTAAGCCCCTAAGCATACCCTAAAGCCTGGTTTGCAAAAAGAAAGGTTATAGTCAGTGTATAAATTAATCCACCACAATTTTGAGCATTCTTACGAAATGAAATGCATCAAAAACTGCACCGCGTGTCCCAGTATAGTTCGGTGGAAATGATAAACTTGTTTCAAAACAACCTCGTTCACACATTTCCAAGCTAACGCCATAGAAGTGGACCGAACCGAATAATAATCTTCTTAAACATCTAAGGAAATACTAGTTGAGTACTAGTTACAACGACCCAAGGTGGCTTTTGCCGATCCCGGAGAGATGGAAGGCTTGGTGGGCTTTCGACACAACGAGGACCGATCTCATGTGTATTACAGGGCACCTCCGACCACTGCGCAACACGCGCTACCATCTAGGAAAATACTAGTTGAGAATTTTAAATGACCAAGTCGCTGCTACAAACGCCTGCAAATAGATAAGAAATGCTTAAGCAATCGAGAATGCATAGCGCATGCGCATCCTTAATGAGTAGATCTACGCAAAACGCTTTCTCCTTCACTATTTAACGTCTCATCCCTTTGAACAGTGCCGCTTTGTAGTGGTTGGTGACGACCACCGCTTGCAAACCTCTACATAAAGCGGACATCTACGACCATGATAAAATGGCATAGAAGAGAATCGTTGAACCAGCTGTGGTGCTAGCCACATCCATTCTATGACCCTAGCGCCTGACGGCTATAAACGGACTACACTGATTCCCAATGAGATTAGTCGATTGTTAGCGGTGAACACCGGCCATAACGGCTTATTATTCATAGATAGCACAGAAAGTTCTTTTTCCCTTAAAATCCTAAGTTCTTTGCGCATCTATGCGGACGAACACTATAGATCTGAATATTTGGAGATAGGAATAACTGTAAGACATCCAAAAAACGTATAATGTAGTGTTCAATTCTCTAACAATTCAGCATAAACTTCGCTGAAACCTTACCGGACTTCGTATCAAACCGCCTCCTTCTTCGCCGTCGAGTGGAGAGGAAGCCATTATCAACTGAAAAGCAGAGGACTTTTTAAAGAATGAGAACAGACCACTTTAGAACGGAATGAAAGGCTACGACTTCTACAGTAGTTAGTGGGAAAAAACTATTCGCTTTCGTACTTTTAACGCTTACAAGGTTACACATGACAAATTATAAGGTCTTAGTCAACAGAATACGAGTAAGTGTTGCAAGAAACGACGGTTACTGTTTTCGGGTTCAAGGTAGATATCAATCGAGGAAAATTTTCGCTCTCTTGGGCTCAGTCCCAGCATCAAAGGGTACCCCGAGTATCCGACGCCCGGCCATGGATGAGCCGAAACCAAAATCCTTCGACAGCCTCCCTGAGGGATCTACCGAGGGAAACTCCCGATCCCATGGGCTCAGTCTCATCATATGCTGTAAGCAAGAAAAAACCTATGCGTCCACAGTTTTGAGAGCCAATGACTAAGATGACTAAAATTCACCAGAAAGGTTGTTTAATGGAGAAATTGAGGATGTGAGCATAGCATTAATATTCCAGTCTTCAAATTAAGCGCTACTATGTCTACGACCAATTTTGTCACCTTCACACATTCCTTTTACTCCTAGCTAAACTTGTTTACTCTTTAACTGGTAAGGAAATGTTCTAACATCGCTATTTATAGGAACCCAGAAAGAAATTGTACAATTTCCCAAGTACTATTTAGACATCAATATAACGAAAGCCCTATTTCTTCGTTATCTAAAACGAATCCAGCAGAATTTCAAAGTTGGACAGAAAGAGCAGATTGAGATGCGCACACGTGAAAAACGATAAGCCTGTTCAGCAAGAACGATCGATGGTTGGCTCTTGGCCACGCCCAGGGTACAACAACACGTGCAAGCTAACAACGGAGGGTACGCAACTCCCGCAATGTTTCTGCACCAAAACCTGCCCTCCTCGAATGAGACACGGTTCCACGTGAATCGTAGACCTCCTGGTAATCGTCTCCATTACCTGAGAACATTTATCAATAGCACCCTCTACATAAAATCCAATGAGAAAGCCACTTCTAAATCTTCGGCAGCCTCCTCTCGATTATCCCTTTTCACATGCTCCCACCCATGGCTTCAAACCATCTACTATGTGCCACATCTAGGAGTTCTCTCACCTTAATTCGAATACATTTGCACGGTTTGGTTTCGAAATATGAACCCGACACCCAACATTCTCTAGCATTTGGCGCGGTATCCTCACACCAAGTACTGAATACGTATCGTTTGACGTTGAAATTTAAATCTAGTGTAAGAGTAAAACCCATACCATGAACCAAAGGTTATCATTACAAATATTTATTGTGTAGCAAACAAACAAAAAGAACGACATGAGATAAAAAACCAGCCTCCACATAGATCGTGGTCACGAAACCAATGAATGGTAGTACAATAGGAATTAAAATGTCTCGAGAACGCAACAAAGTATAAGTGATGTGGACACACTTGTATTCATCTAGTAAAAAATCTACACCGAGACATCAATCAGAAGATGCTTGGAAAGAAAGAGGAGTTTGTACGACGGTACCATTAGCATTGCGCGGATTACCTCATCTGGATTATACCTGCTTCGCGTAACTTCATAAGCTTGGCGAAGATGTCAGGATTTTGCAGATGTTCCCTAACTGCTCCAGGATCCTTAAAACATCCGGGACTAATGTGTATAATCCTAGTATTCAAAACTGAACTGTTAATTTCATACTAACCTGGCTCATTTGTTCTAGCAACAACCGCATGCCAGGGTCACGTAGAATCGCTTGCACTTCAGGGTCTTCCAATGCTCGTTCACGAGCCTGACATACATGATTGAAGTCCAGCATTTATAAAGTTCTAGAGTGTTCCATTTGCTTGGAAATGCGCACCTTTTCTGGGTCCTCATCATTACTACGGAAACAGTTGCGGAGTCCTTCAAGCGCCTCAGCATTTGAGGGATCTATTGCAAGTGCATCCTCGTATGCACGCTTCGCTTTTGTCCACTCACGCATGGCAGTCAATACAGCACCCTTTCGTATGTATCCTTTGACTAGAATTTTGGATTAAAATGAGTAAATAAGTGTCCTAAATCCTAACACGTATGTGTAATGCATTCCAGAACTAATCACTCAACTATGAGAAACACTTCTGTAATATCCTTACTTCATGATAAAGCTACGCTTCCAAACACTATAGCTAGATCTCTATGGTAATCAAATTCAGCAGAACCCAACGAGTTATGTGTTGCTTGAACAAAGGAATCAAACTGAGGTCTTGCGTAAAGTGTGGACTAATCGAGATTTTACTAGTTTGCATTCCATTTGCTTTCTCGCATCCATCAAATATTAAGCTCTTCAGATTATCATTTAGGAACGCATGCTGTTGCATAGTTTCTGGTGTTTTTCAACTAGATTGTTTGAATGTGGTTGCATGCCGGCCAAGCCAATTCGCCCAGGAATCCTGTGATAGCCCTGCTATGCCGTTCTTGCGGAACCGAGGGAAATTTCCAGGTAAGTCTACTACCAATCTGTCGACCAAGGAAAGACGGAAAACTTGCTGAGCTCGGTCCGGGATGGAACCAAAGTCTTGCTCTTACAGGGCTGCATCACTGCACTGTCGCTCCCTTACAGTACAACTAATGTCATACACGTGACCGGGTTACACGAACGAGAACTAAGGGTTACATTTTTCACAAATATTTCTGCGCAGATGTCTTAAACTGAAGGAACATTACGAGCAGCTGTAGAACAAAACTTACTAAATTTTGGATCACGTTTTATGCAGCTCTCACAGTCATCCAACGCTCGTTGGAATTCCATGAGCTTCGTATAACATGCAGCACGATTGGAGTAGAGTACAGCGTTGTCCGGATCACGTTTCACTGCTTCATTGTAATGCTTCATGGCACCAGGGTAATCTCCGACCTAGAACGAAACACTTTGGTACATAGGCTATAACAAACGACCACATAAACCCAATCACCTTAAATAATTCGTTCCCCAAATTCTTCTCTTGTTGGGCCAATTCGGGATTAATGTAGGCAAGACGCTCTCGTTCTTTTATCTCTTTCTCCAATTCCTTCGCCTTCTTCACCGTTTCCTTCAAAGAGAAATTCAAAGTATATAAACATGTGTTAATAATGCGAATTCGCAGAAAAAATTCTTGTATCAAATAAGGAAACCGCAGGAAATTTTAATTGGAAAGAATCAGATTACAAAAATTTTAAACCCACTGGATCCCTGAACTCAGATATAGACTTTTCGTACCAATTCAGAGCCTCCTTAAGATCTCCTGCCTTCGAATACGCATTTCCAGCTCTGGCCATTGCTCTGTAAGAAAAAAAATGAACTGCTTATTACTTTTGTAAAAACAATTTAACCAATAAGGATAGAACTGTGAGTGAATCAATATGAAATACATAGCAAAATGTAACAAGGAATATTTGCATACAATGTTAAAACACAACACCTGCTGTTGGTTCTCCTGACAATTACAAATAATTTAGCGATAACTAGACTAGCTCAGGAGTTGAAAACTTGATATACTGGAAACAGAACTGTCTCTGTCTCATCTAGCTAAGGGTAAAAGCTAAAGGATAAAGCTCTCGGCGTTGATCAATCCCTGTGGTATGCGCCATGTATTCAACTTCATTAACCATCGCAGGAGGTGCCTGAATGCATATCTGGCTTTTACAATGACTCGCGGTGGTCTGCCCACGTATCGAGCTAGTGTTGCTATCCTTCCAGAAAAGTATGGTACGAATTTACCGACTCCGGAGGTATGGAAGTCTTGGTGGGCCAGGAGCGCGGGAATCGATCCCGCGTGTGTTGCATACGCGACCTTTAGCTAAGGGTATTGATGATTATTCCGAAAACTTCTTCGAGCTTGAACCTTATTAAGGGTCAAAAGAATGAAGAAACTGGAGCTAAATTTATATTTTGGGACGTTCCAATGCACCCGCCATAGTCGCAGAGAGCAACAATATATTGGGGAATATCATCAATTTTTGTTCATAACCGCTCAACCGTCTCAATGCTCGAAATACCAAGGATGAAAAAGTCTGCCAGCTCTCAAAACAGAGACCAGGATCTTATCTTTATTAAGATGAACTGTGTCTTGTAGGAAATTGTGCAAATTCAAGTGGCTCTTATTTAAATTAATAACGTTCACTACCAGCTAAGATGCCCCGCTCAAGCTGAAAAATAGAACTACTTGCGGAGGCGCGCAAATTGAAATCAACGCACCTAGCCCGTAATGTTATCAACTTACTAACCGCACGTGGAAACCAAAAGATTCGCTATTGGGCAAACTGATTTGAAAAATTAGAACAATTACAATAAACAATTAGAGCCGAAATCAGATCTTGACAACTGCTGACATTTTCTAGACAGCTAGAGCACTTTACGAGACGAAAATTTGGTAAACGTACACTATATTTAGCTGTATCGCCCTTCAAAGAGGCATGTCATGACCTAAAGGTTTCGTTTTCCTCCAAAGCTGTTCACATTAAAATTAAAATTGCTGCATGTTCAAATGAAAATTCAAGTCCGAAAATTTCTACCGTAAGAGCAACAACCACAAGCATCAATAGTACACCGATGTACACCATAACGCCATACTGGACGAAATTCTGCTTGTCCAGCCGTTGCATTGTATTTCAAATAAAAGCATTGATTTGAAGCAGCTAAAGAAATATCAAACTTGCGCAGAAACGACTGTCGATTTTGTCACCATGAATTTCACAAAAACATTTTGTGACCAATATTAATTGCTTAAGCTGCTGCTATGTACCCACTTTAAAACCTATTTCCTTCTTAACAACTGGCCACGTAATAGCTTTCTCATACACTTAGTTAACAAGGATTCCAGGATCGTTGACATGATGCTCTTAGATCACGAAAATCTCATGGCTTTAACTCATGAGTTCAACATGGGCATAATGCAATACCAGCAACTCCAAATATCACCAAAAATGGGATAAGAGGGTTTCCAAACCCATAACTTAAAGATGACTTATGAGCACGAGGAGATGAGTTCTTACAACAAAAAAGCTCATGGACACCTATCAGCAATTAACAACGACAATCTGAAGCAGAAAGTTGGCTAGAGAATACTTGACAGATTGTTAGAAAACTCAACAGCCACAAATCAACGAACTTTTGGAAGACCACGCAAAGGCGAACAAGCTCGATAAACGGATCCTGAATGAACTGCACAAATGGCGCTTGTCGCCATGAATTCGATTCTTCACTTCTTTTACGTAACAAAAACTACAAGCTTATTGCCGGAACCTCCACGTCAAATAAGAGTGGGATTTCCACCAGCTACTTCAGTTTACCAGTTATGAAAATATTCTGTCTATTCCGTAATCACCGTGACAGCTCAGAAAAGCAGTACTGAAAAAGAACAAAAGCCGATTTCTCTCGCTAATTACCATCTTAGTAAAATCATGGAAAAGATACAGTTACAAGATTAGACAATAGGAAACAAAGCTTCCTTAGAGTTTAAAGCTGCGGACTATACGTATTCACTGAAATTAAAGTGCAATTAAGCATCAACAGGGGTTCGGGCATATGGATTAAACCCAAAATGTACATAAGACCATAGAAGCGTTTGCTAAGTTCTACTTTTCCGTCAGATCCTCCAGCTAGTGCTTGCAGAACGAAATTTCTCCACCCTAAAAAAATCTAAATGCTACCAAGCTGCACCTGGACAATACAGTTATTTCCAGTAATCATTCAGATAACAAAACGATAACGTCAAGGTGACATCATCTCCAAAAGTATGTTCACTGTTGCATTGCTGTGGAAAATGAAGCCGAACGAGCAGACGCGGCATTTTACTTTATACTTCTCAATACATGCTTTCGGAAAACACTTCCACTTACAAAAAAAAGAGAATATACATAAAAAGCGAGTTACAGAACCATAGCACAAGCTATGGATCTAAGAATGGTAGTTACAGATACGTCGAAAGAAACTTTCCATCTGAACGACGACAGACATGTCGTAGAACGAACAGAAATGTGCTGGCGATCGCACAACACGTGACGATGTTCCGTCTAAGCAATTAAGTGAACGACGAAAATAACAAAATGCTAATATCAGTATGGCAATATTCCGCAGAATGTTCGAGTCGACGGAGAAAACTTGTGAAGAGAAAACACACCAGATAACACTTGCACAGAATGCGTCTTTTATCATAACGCAGTACACCTAGCACCTTGAAATTGATTCCGTATAGAATAAAACGGATTAAATGAAGAAGAAATCATCAAGAAATAAAAAGGATAAAGCACTTGGCGTTCAACAATCCCTGAGGGATGCACCATGCACTCGACGTCACTAAGCATCGTTGGTGGTGACTGAGTGCACATCTGGCCAATAAAACGCCTCGTGGTGGCCTGCCTGTGTATCAAGTCAGTGCTGTTACTCCAATGACCCCAGTGGGTTAAAAGGATTGGTAAGTCTGGGTGTCGTATAGGACCCATGTATATTACAGATGCACACCTACTGTGCGGATCCCATCACATTTTACATTCTTTTCGTTTCCTCGCATCCATCATTCACTAAGGTCTTCCAGCTTTTACGTGTAACTTCGACTGCTGTTTGAGGATTTCCATTTCATTTTGAATGTCGTAAAGTGCTGGTAAAGTTTAGTCGTACTGCAGCACTGGGATATTCGCATTAAAGCGTTCCCAGTTAGAATGCAGAGAGCAATTTTTTCCCGGACAAGTCTGGAACCAATTTCCCGACTCCAGAAGGATGAAGGGCTTAGTGAACCAGATTGAGAGTCGAAACAGCATCGTGCTCGTGATGGCCGGCATCTCTACCACTGTGCCATATGTCCCTCGAAATCACACCTAGGTAAACAAGCAAACATAGACAGTAGCTAGTGAGTGGGTAGAGCAGTGGTATTAATGATCATGACCACAGTGTTGGTTCGACTCCACACAAAGCTTACCAAGCCTCCCGCCCTCCGAAGACGGGAAATTAGTACTAGACATATCCAGAAACACTTTACTTTCTACAACCAACCGAAATGCTCCAGCTCCACCAAGTCAGGACTCCAGCGAGAATCGACTCGACCAGGGTTCAATGACATTCATAAAGGCGATAATCGTCAAATAGCAGCGCATCAACACGCGACACGTAGGATACCGTTGATGACGGATGAAAGAAACGAACAAACGACCTGCAGAGACCCACAAAGCTGTGGATGCAGGTCATATAAAATAAATAAACAAAGAAATAGATAGCAGTTAATTACAAATTTGCAAAGACGTGGAGCGCACCAAGTAGTCTCTAACCAGGTCCCGCACAAGCTCAAATGAGAGTTCATACCGGTAAAAGAAGAAGCACAGTCTGCATAGGAATTCAGCTGAGCGCCAAGAAATCTTCAAACTGTGGCCACCTCGGTTCTTGATGCTTCATTTAAGTAACGGAAAGATTTCTAAACAAACTTTGCAATCAACTTGAAGTCTGCACGCTGTTCACGACCAACTTCAACGGCTTTCTTACAGATTTCTACGCAATCGTCGTACTTGTGTTCCTCGAAATACGCTGCTGAAACTCTCACATAGGTAATTCCGGATGTCTACCGGTCCAAATCTAACAAATACGTAAAACATTCCAATGGTCAAGAATAAGTCATCAGCTTACCTGCTTTATTAGTGTAAAATGTTATGTTCGACGGGTCTAGTTCAATAGCTCTATCGTAATGCTTATGGGCTTCTTCAAAGTCCTTCAATTTGTAGGCAGCATTTCCAAGATTCTTCTCGCCCACGGCCTATAAGAATACTAAAATAGAGAGAACAGCAGATTTTCAACAAATTTCTGAACCATTACTTCTTCCTGTGCAGTAGCCATTCAAGCTGCAGCGTAGTTTCGTACAGCACCTAAAATAGTAACCAGAATTTACAGAACTCATTAGAGCACGAAGAAATATCGAATAGTAAACAGCAGAAGGCACTAGACAACAGAAACTTCCCACCGATCGTGAGAGAAAAATACGGATAACTGCTTCTGAAGTTCAAAACTCAGCATTGTCTACAGAATTCCAGGGACATAATGCAATCACAACACTTGGAATGGGCGAATTGCTAAGGATGAACGGCACAGATCCACAAAATGTTTTGAAATCCATCGCTCATATCAAACGAGAACAACAATCCCACTGAACGAGTATGGACACCTGTCGGTATCCGCAAACGGCCGTCCACAAACGCGCACAACTCTAGAGTGCGCCACGGGACTAGTGCGCGCCACGGAGAACCTTCTAGAAAAATCCTGTGGTACATGACACCACGCAACGGCAGTTCGTCATTCTGCGGCGCTCTATAGCTTGTTGGGGAGATAGAAGAGTAGCCCTGAGAGGGGTTGTAGGACGGTGAACTTCGCAGTAGTAGAGACCTGGCTAGGTATCGTAGTTTAGCTCTTTGCTTACTTACTTACCTGGATACTTAGACGGTCCGTACTCACTGGTTGTGCGGCCCCCAGCTTATTCTCCGTTTTTCGGAGTTTTGCTGGTCCAACCATTGCTTCCCTGGAGTCCCGAAGTCAGCCTGGCCAAAGTCTATCCCAGATCACCGCCACGATAGGCAGTCGCCGCCTTTGTGGATCAGAGGGGAATTTGCCACCACGCGACTAATTTGATACCAGGGTGGTGGTAAATACTGTATCGGCTTACTCTTAGCCGCGCTTCCTAGTGAGAACGCCAAACTCCTCAGTCTGGGAAACCTTCCAGGGAGGATCGAACTCTCTGCTGTACATCACAACCGAGCACTCAGGAACACCTCTCAGCCACGATGCGATAGACCGTTGGGAGGTGGAACTTCAACAAATGAAAAAGAGTGGAATTATCGGAACATGCTTGTCCGACCCGTCGTTGGAAATAGAATATTGCCAGACCCAAGGTCACTTCTCACAGGCAGTTCTACTCCTCTGGAGCTCGTGTGCATGACAAATCCACGGCGACTTCCCACGATGTGAGAGTTAGGCTCAAAAACTATATACCGATCTGTCTGAAGCTGGATTGAACACCAACGTGTTCCACCTACGGCATTTTTGCATTGATTAAACGAGAGCTATGCAACTGAATCACGCTCTATCCAGTTATAATTCTTTATTCCTTTATGATACAAGTAATGCATATTGTACCATGAACAACGTTAAGTGGCGTTAGAACTAGCTAATTTGTCAATTCTATTACATCACAACTTGTTTACAATGTTCCTGCAAGACCAGACACATAATCTCCATTGTATGCCTCATCCTCTAAGATTACCTCTTCTTCGTGGGCGACACTGTCATTACCATGTGGAGCACCATTTAACCAAACCTGGAAAGCTCAGGTATTAAAGAAACGTTTGGTCAAGTATTTTGCGATATCTGGCATTACTAATGGCAGTGAATTGATAAGAACCCACTCATATCTTACGAACTTTATCACCTATAGTCACGTTCATCGTCGTGTCATTTGCAATCCAACTAATCTTTGTGTAACCTGAGCAACTAGTCCAGCAAACTTCGCTGTTCACCACTGCATAGTAGAACAAGTTAAACAGGAGACTTTTTAAACTATAATTTTCAAACCGACCGTCATTTAACCTCTGTAATAAAATAATCAACGTGTTTAAATTGTTGAATTCACACGAGGTTGATAAATGTAATTATTTCGGCTTACGTTTCGACGTCTTCGTTTTCATTAGAGCCGGTGATCCGAGTCGACGGTCCACAGTTGTTCTTCATCTTGATGTGGCGCTTCGATGTCGATGTTGATTTTACACAATGAGGCTACATCGAGAAGAACTACTGTAGACCATTGACTGGGATCATTGGCTCTGATGAAGACGAAGACGTTGACACGTTAGCCGAATAAAAAAAATTCTATCAACCTCGTGTAACCTCAACAGTTTAAACAAGTTGATTATTTGTAAACTGTGTCTATGAAATTTGCTGCGAATACCAAAATGAATTCCATGCTGGTCTACAGTTGAGCAGTTTCCAACTTTTAGGACTGTACTCAAAGAGTTAAGGACGATATGTTCAAGTACCAGCTTTTATAATACCCATTCAGGTGGAGATTCATATGCTCCAAATCCATTTCTACTCGTCAGTCCATGTTTCTTGGGAATTGTCAGAGCCATATATCATAATTATATGTTCACCACCATGTTTGAATGGCTGGTCCTTACTGGTTTTGCCGGCCCCACTATATTCATCATTTCCTTGGAGGTTTGCTGGTTTAGCCATTGCGGTTCACCGTAACCCCGAGGATAGCCAGGCCAACGTGGGCCTCAGTTCGTCACCACTACCGGCAGTCGTCGTCCTTGTGGATCAGAGGGAGATTTACCACCAAGCGACTAGTCTGAAACCAGGACAGTGGTGGATCCTGTTATTGGCTTAGTCTTAGCTGAGCTTCCTGAAGGAAACGCCGAACTCCTTCTCAGCTTGGGAAACTTTGCAAGAGGGACGAATTCCTCCGCTGTACATTGCTGCCCGATACCCATGAACAGCACCCAACCACGAAAAGGGGGTAAACCGTTGGGAGGTATAAACCTTGTTACAGGAGTTAAGTAGTACTGGAGTTCTGGATCCTATAATCCTCATCCTAAACCGACCATGATATTCGCGACTATGCATAATTTTTGAAGATTATCGCATAGGAATGTCTTATTTCTCAAGACGTGGGACATGCATCTAGCTTAATACCTATAATACGAACTGTTCTCTAGGCAGTGATATCCTGCTAGTACACCTTTCATATTCTTGAGGATTTTCACCCACACATACGCTGGTATAAGCTGTGCTTCCTCAAGCTTGTTGATTAGTCGTAGTCTCGTCGATATCCACCAACATAGTTATATGACTTCAAGGGCACATCAAGCTGTGAATAACCGTTGAAAAAAAAGGGCACATATAGAGCCAGAAAACATTTAGTATTTGTTCTAACTAACTGATTGGTAGAAAGCAGAACTTCGATATTTTCAAAATTTGCAACAATATATCTTTTATACACGCTTCCGTAACGTGCTTCGTTAACGAAGTCCTAATTTAGAAGCTAACAACGAGTTAATGCATCTATCTTATGGCAAAACTAGAGTTATGCATGGACGGTTAATAAAGTGATCTCGACCACAACTTCTGTACCTAAGTTCCGTTCCATTGTACACAACTTCTAACACAATGTACTGGAACTGTAAGCTACATCTCAAATGTTCCATTGAGTTTATCCATCCTACAGAATTTCTGGTCAAGCATTATGTGACTAGTACCAATTACATCTATCAGTACTAGTATCACTCGTCAGTGCAAATAACTCCCCGTAGAATTCTATGCAGATATTTTTAATAATAAACCTGTATTATAACCACTCTAAAGACAACAGAACCCTGTTAAACACCAGCGTTAACCTTAACGATATCCCTAAAATAAACTGCAAATATACCTGTCGCATTGATTGCATTTGTGGTAAACACATACTAAATCGTTCCAATCGGTCCATAAAAGCTTCAAATCGATCTAACAAAGCAGCTTGCCGTTCCTAAACGAAGCACCTTAAACAAGCATATTTGATTAAATATGTCTTCGATTCTAGAGAATTAAGAGAATTACTGCACTACGAGCGGGTGAGATAGCACAGTTTTAGTGATCCCGATCATCACGAGCACGGTGCTGATTCGATCCCGTTCCACGCTCATCAATCCTTCCATCTCTCCAGAGTCAGGAAATTGGTACTGGAATTGCTCAGGAGAAAACAACTTCTTTCAATCCAACTGGGAACGCTTCAGCACTGCTATCTCAGGACTCCAGAGAGAATCGGCTCGACCAGCATTCTACGACATTCAAGACGAAGTGAAAAATCGTCCAGCAGCAGCCGAAGCCACACGTAAAATTCGAAAGACCCTTGTGGATGATGAATGCGAGGAAACGAATCGAATATTAGAGGTTGTGGGATCCACACAGTAAATGTGAAAACGGGTCGTATAAAAAACCTAGGTTTTAGGTTCAGGATCCGCACAGTAGATGTGTAGACGGGTGATATAAAAAAACAAGTTTTTTCTTTTAAAATGCATTACCTGCAGCTCGCATTCCGCTCGGTAAAGAATAGCTCGGGTGCCGCTTCCCAGTTCCTCTTCTTCCGGCTCTATTCTTGGTCGTTTTGCAGAAGATGAGACCTTTACTCGTGCATGATCTACAATGAAGGGTGCTACACATTTTCAGCTTGTTAATAAAATATTGATTAAAGGACAAATTTCCACCTGTGAAATACTTTTGGTCAAAATGCGTCCCATAGTGAGTATCCAGCGATCTTGACTTTTCTACGCCATCCGAGAATCTCACCTAACATATGGATATTAAAACTCACAAGTGATTTTTCTAAGTGAGACCTAACCCTTCTTTGAGGACCAGCTTCAAAACATTCTGGATCTCCTTTCCAATAGTAAGTCATTACAGCCAGCGGTGTACAAGACTGATAAACCCTGGCAATTTAATTGTAATGGCTACGAAAATGATCTACATATTTCCAATTTATAGCTAAAACATTTGACATCCGATAACTAACCTAGCACTTGTTGGGCTCTTAGCAGTATATATCTTGCGAACAAACCTTCCATTTACGGACGGGTGTTCGTAACGTTTTGACAAGATCTGAAAGTAACTGTAGAGAGCTTGGAAACAGCGAAATCCCGTGATCCTGTGACCTGTACGTCATATTCGGCTCCTTCAATCAATTTGCAACCACGATCAACACGTACAGCATCGCCTGTGTTGCTGTCGATCTTGTAGTACCTAAACTAAGGATTGTATTTTCTACAAAAATTGAAAACGTCGAAAAATGACGAGATTGAAAATGAGATGTCCCTAGAATTTCCAGCCGGCTTTCCCCAACAACCATTATTATCTCTTCTTAGTTCAGCATCAGAAACGAAATTGTTCAGATCGATCACGAATGTCCCACATTCCCGATAGCCTTGAGGGACTCTGCTACATATTCTGAAGTAATTTCTTGCAACAAAAATATTCTACAAAATCTTATACGGAAGAGATAGCAAGCCAAATCAACAAATGTAAGAAATAAACAGTAAAAAACTGACTTGGAGTCAACTAATATAAAAAACAATTAAGAAAATCATAAGACTTACTTTGAAGAGTCAACTATAGTTCCGCCGAGAATGATGGAAGCCACGGCGTTAAAGTCTATGGCTCCAACGGCATATAATGGACAATCTCCAAAATAGGCAGCACAAGTAGTTGGAAGAGCGGTCATAGGGCCGCCCTGCTGAACACGAAAGAACAGTGTCAATAATCACAACGGTGCTGAGGTAGTTGCTAAACTTGAACTCCGGGCAACTTCATCAGATTCCAGATGAAAGATGTGCAGAGGAAGGGCCTCTGTGGTGGAGTGCATAATACACAAACCCTCCGAAAGGGTAATTGTTGTTCGATCTGGCCCGGTTTCCAAGTTTTTCAACTATCTCAGCATCGTTGTGGTTATATCTCACATCATATCCTGCCGTGAAAAATTACAGCAGGCGGCGAATAAAAGGTTAAGAGTGTCAATAATGAGAAAACACTACTAGGAACATACAAATGAGGCAGCTTGCCAATCTTTTGATCCAGCGGGCGGGTGGGGAATTGTTGGTCCTCGTCGACGGTTCTTCGCAAGGGATGCTGCAAATAATCACTGATATCCGATTATGCAGGGACTAACAATTTACACTTACGGATGACTCGGAAGTCGAACGGTTTCCCTATCCATTCATAAGTTATTACGACTAATGAGACGACATCATTTCGTCCTGGCGGATACAAAGCGGAATACACCTGACTCATTCATATAACAAGATGTTGGAAAACAATGCAAAATGTCAAGTTGCTCTAGTCTTACCTTTTTGATAAAACGATTTTCCCCACGAGCAACATTTGCAGTCAACGGGTGTTCATATCGACGCATCATACACTTCCAAATGTACTTTGCATTGGGGAGCAAATTTCCTCGTCCATCATCCATTCGAGAGAACACACCATTCGAGTGCCCGTAGTACCTGTTTCGCCCTGTTGGCCTACCTAAGTATGTTGTTCAAAGCATACCTTATTTGATTGTTCATGAAAACATATGACAAGGATCCGCTAGCATACCCCATGAACCTAAGCCATCATTGTTCGAATCACACTGTTGCAGATGTTCACAGTTCACAACGAAAGTACCTTCACCACGGAAGCCTTGAGGTATACTCATGCAGACTTTGCTTTCATGTACATGAATGGCTCCAGTCAATATATGACATGCCTCCTGAAAACGTCAATGAAAACTTGATCTCACTCAAGAAATAGTTAAAGACGTCACAATTCCCAGCGTTCTCAACAAAACAATTATTTCAATAGGCGACTCAGTACGAAGTGAAATTTCACTTTACCACAATCATCCATATCACACTATGTAATTGATAGAAAAGATTCTTTCTATTTCCTACATGAACCGTCTTCACGTTTACTGTATGGATCACACCACTCACATTCCATTCGTTTCCTCGCATCCATTATCCACGAAGATCTTCCAACCTTTACGTGTGGCTTCGACCGCTGCTTAATAATTTTCATTCCAATTTGAATGTCGTAGAATGCTGGCCGAGTCACTTTTCTTTCGAGTCCTGAGGTAATCGCACTGGAGGGTTCCCAATCAGATTTCAAAGAGCAATTTTTTCCCGCACAAGTTTGGTACCAATCTACCGGATTCGGAGGGAGGAGAGACTTGATTGGTTCGGAATGGAATCGAACTAGCACCATGCTCGTGATGCGCGACATCACTGCCACTGACGGAAAAGATTTGGGGTGGTAATTAAGTACCTCCGTCATTTTAAAGTCTCAACAGAGGTTATCGCACCAGCAGCCACTGTAAAAAAATTTCGCGCTTCACGAAAGAAATAGTGAAAACACAAATACCACTACCACAGTACAGGTTGTAACTAATCCCTTACAATCAACGGCAAGTCAACTCAAATGTAACCTAATATGGGAAAGAAACGTTGCAAATGGCAAGATCAACGGACTCCGCACAAGTAGAAACATTCGTGTAACAGCAGTTTCTTGTGCAGTGCACTAATTTTAGAGTACTGGAAAACCATCGTACTCCATCTATTCCAGTTAGATCCGAATTGCAACCTCTGCCTCCTTATTTTTCAGATCTCCAAATCATACTGTCGTCGGTACAACTATTAGAAGTCTTGGACCCCAGGCCACATCCAACGATTTCCCTTTCCAAGGGCTTGCGTATTACACATTGCACCACTAAAGCCCTTGCACTGCGTTTCTTTCAGGTAGTTTTCTACTTAACACTTCCGTCAACACTCATCCCCCAGTGGGATTGATCCGGGGAACACAAATCGGCATTGAACCCAGTTAAGCCGAGGATGTAGTCGAAATCGCAATGACGATTGATTTTGATGGCGGTGATTTCGACTACACCCTCAAATTAACTGAGTTCAATGTCAAATTGTGCTACTCAGATAAATTCCGCAGATGGGTGAACGCTGATGGCAGCCTTAACCCTTTTATTTACAGCCTTTTTCTTTTTAATGGCAGAACTAAATATAACTCGTATATAATGCTGAGATATGGCAAAAGATCAATAGAACTAGCTGAGAGACAGGCAAAACGAAGGACCCGGATGGTGTGGCGGTGAAGTGCGCTACTCCCCGGTAAGGACAATAGTGCGCGTTCGTTCCCCACCGCATACACCTGCGGTCCGGAGTTTTGCAAATATCTCAGCATTGTATACGAGCTGATGGCAGCGTTACGTAGAAAACTACCTGAGATATACGAAGAGCAAGAGCCTCTGCAGTGCAGTGTGTAATATGCGAGCCATAGGAAAGGGTAACCGTGGTTCAGTAGTGGCCCGGGGTCCAAGTTTTGAGAACATTTCAGCATCGTTGTGGTTATATTTCACATCATACTCTGCAGTGAAAAATCACAGTAGGTAGAAAATAAAAAGGTTAACATATTTAAAGTCTATTCAACAAAGCCGCTTTAGGACAACGAACAGGCTCGATTTCCACAAATTACTTTCACATCGATCTAATAGCAGATTGATAAAGAAATCATGAGCACAGTTTAAAAATAAGGAAAAGATTCACCTGAAAATCTACAGGTCTGTCCCAATACAGTGGCCATTCATCAAATTTGTAAATAAAGTGTTTCCTTTTGCTATAAAACTGGTTAGCGTCCACAGCGACGAAATCGGCACTTGTTGTCTCGCCATCCATGATCGACTAAAACGTTTACAATGTACCAAAGAATAAAAATCCAAGAAAAAAAAGTTAAACCCTACCTCTTCTCTATCAGGTAATGGAACAAGAACAGCTTCCTCATCTTTCTGAGTCGACTCTTCCAAGTTTAACAAATCCGTTCGCTCAGCCTAGTTAAAAACAGTGGAACAAAACTGTCCAGACTTCCCAGCATATTTCGAAATTACCTTTCGTAGAGCTGCTTCTCCATACATTTTAAAAAGGGATTTCATTCCCGGCATACGTTGTGAATTGGAAGACGCACTGGGAACTTCACCAGCATCTGAAACCCATTTGGAAGCATAGGTGCTCAACTTGCTCAAACAATAGTGAGGTATACGACATCGAACCTTCCCACTGCGAAGAGTTACTACTACGAAAGGGTCCGGAATTCTTACTCCCAGCGAAATGTTGTAGCTGACTTCTAAACGAATCGTTCGTCAGAAGAACCTAAAGCACTGCAATTTCTCTGACACGAAAAAAAAAAACAAGAAAACAAACTAGGGAAGGGACTGTAGGAGCGAAGGGAATTATGAGGAGAACCGACCGTTGCTGGTGCCAACGACTTGTTGGCGTCAGTTGATTTTCCACTGCTCCATTTCGTAGCAATGCTATGCTCTACCTAAAATGAAAGACTGTACAGAAACATTAACTGCCTCAGAGAACAAACGATGACCAAGAAATTAACGATGGAAGCAACTATGAGGGAAATACGAACCTCCACTTCATCAGCAATGTCATCTATATCGGCCAGAGTTTCATCATCAGCCGAATACAGCTCCGAACCATACTGTTCATTGACATTCGTGGTGCCTTAAGAAGAAAAATCGATGACATCTCTGCTCAAATTTTCCCATACTTCCTATCCTCCACGGAGTAGAGTATTACGATGATGACTTGGAGTAAAATACAACTCACCACGTCCAAAACCGAACGACCTGTAATCTTCTTGGTGGTTCCTAGGACACTCACCAGTCGATCCAATCATAAATATTACCGCCAGGAAACACGGCGTGTAAGTGAAATCACGCCACACCAAGAATCGCCTCGGCGCTCATTTCTACGTTGGAGCAGCTTGTACACTGCAGAATCCTTAGTGGAGAGTCCTTCTTGGTCGTATACGACTCGATCTGAAACCCTTAGGATGGTTTATCTGTCATAAGCGCTGTTCAATTCCAAGATTGTTACCCGGCCTGACATCATATGCATTCATTTTGATGCACAGTAATGTGCACTTTCGATTTGAATCGCACAATCGCACGTATTTCAGCTCATAGCAAGGTTCAGTTTTAAATAAAAATGAGAAGAATATGCTCATCTTTGCCAACTAAACACAAGTTTCCCCATTCTGGCAAAATGTAATTCTGTTTTTTCGCCCAGGCTTGTGTTGTAAGCACCGCTTTTGATCGAAAATCTCAGCGTTTGTAGCCGCTCTGATAATGGAAACTGACGACCACGATGGCAGAGTCACTGCTGTGAATGGGTACGACTGGCATGTTGCTCTTCCGAAGAATATCCATGAAGCTGATCTTCCGCTCAGGGATATCTCCTTCCAGGCCGTTTGGACGGTTTCCAGCTGCAAGTCTGGTGAGGCTTCATTGTAAAGAACAATTCAGAACAAAGGTGGACGAGCAGATCTACGAAGTCGGATGTTTCGTGTCGTCAAATAGAGCGATATAAATTGTTTCTTTTCATCATATTCTTTGCTAATTATATAGTGACGACGACAAGTATTAAACAAAGATGACATAAAATGTTATAGAGAAAGAAATAGTATAAACTTTAAAGAAGTGAAGAATTATAAACTTACAATCTCTTCGCGCGTGTTGGCGCAGTGGTCGGAGGGGCCCTGCAATACATATGGGAACGAATCCCGCGCCCCTGGCCAACCAAGCCTTCCATCCTTCCGGGGTGGGCCAATTAGTGCCAGATTTCTCTGAAAGGAAAGCAGCACTGGCTCGACACATCATCGGTGGGCCACCGCAAGACATTGTAAAGGTCAGATATGCATCCAGTCACCTCCAACGATGCTTAATGAAGTCGAAAGCATCGCTGATACCTCAGGGATTTCCCAACGCTAACAGCTTTATCCCTATTTTTTGTCCTTTACTTGCCATTTAACATATATTAACCTATCATTTTAGAGGGTAATGGTGTACATGAATTACTACATGACAGCGTCGAAAAGTATTGGCAAAGTGATGGTCCACAACCGCATACAGTCACCATAGAGTTTCCGAAGAAAACAGACATTTGTTTCGTCATGATGTATCTTGACTTCAAAAATGACGAATCGTATACCCCAAGCAAGTTGGTTTTCGTTAGAAAGAGAGATAAGTGGTGGAAGCCTAGCAGCAAAGTCCCATTGCTGACTTGATGCGTTTCCGTGTGCTTTTAGAATAATTGTACAAATAGGATCATCACTGGTACATCTTGATGATGGTGTTCCTGTGGAGTTCAACGAGCCGACAGGGTGGGAGGTTCGTGATAATAAACTCTTTCCAATTTCTGTTTTAGAGCGTTTTTCAAGATTCTTTATCTACTCTACATTTCTTAGCGTCTCTTTTATTGATTTTACTTGGTTTATCACTTGTTTTCGTTCTCGTTCATCGTTCCAGTTTATCGATCTCCGGTCACGAAGGACGAATAGACCGTCTCGCGCGATGGTGATTCAGCTGCAAGTAGTCCACAATCATCAAAATGGTCGTGATACACACATTAGGTAGGTTTATTATACACTTTTTTGGGCTAACTTCGGAAGGAGCATGTATTTTCGTTCGCAACTCTGACAAAACTCGACTGCTTCAAGTACATTGATATTAGCACATGATGAATCGTGTTCGTGTTTCGCTAGCATGCGAAATTTCCTAAATAGACGGAATAGTTCACGTGTAGAAGACAGTACTCTCCTGCTCAAGGGTTGTTTTTACCTCTACTGTTTAGTATTTGTTCCTATGATTCACTATCCATCCACATTGTAGTCAGTGTTTTTGAGAGTTTTGCAACTTGAATGAATCTGTTTCGTTGTTTTCCATTCCATACGATAGCGGCCGTACACTATAGCGGTTAATGGAGTTATAAAAGTCGATTACTAGTCAAAAATTGGACGTTCTACTCCATACATGGGGTTAGTTTTTTGATAACAGTGGACTAGCACTAAGGAGGAGATGTGAATTTAACAGACTAGAAGCGATTTTGATTTATCTTTGTCTAAAATTCAGTTTTTCAAAAAAAACCAGCATTTTGTCTTGATAGTATAGGACATCTCGTACCGTATTGAAAGAGATCCCCTGATTCGGATAGTTTTTATTTCAGTTAGTGTTGTTCAGTAGACTCTGAGACCTGTTTATTTAAAGCCGAAAGGAGATGCGAACTCCAATTATCCAGTTTGTACACTAAAAGCGAATTCAGAGGCAAAATTATGGCGTCTCTCGATAGAAACCCTCCAAAACTGGAGTTGTGGCGGAGCCGGTGTTATTGAGGTTTATGTACGGTTTCTGGGATGAAGGAAGACATTTGTGTACTGATAATTGTTGTATGGGTATCTCTTTCGCTTAGCCTGTGTAAAAACGAGAAACGACTTGTGAAACAAAAAACACGAGGGCAAAAAGAATATTATTGTGAATCTTACGGCAGCTGTCGTTTCCGTTTCCACAAACTCGTCAAAATAGCATTTTCTAAAATGCTGCTATCGAAGAGTATTATTTATGGACACATAGAAATATGTAAAGATGTCCGTTTGCACTTGGGTTACTCACAGCTCTTCTCCATCTCTTTCTTCGATTATTAAGCAACCAACAGGTTAATAAGAAATTTATTCGGCTAACATTTCCGCTTCGTTTTCATCAGAGAAACACTGATTCGTGTCGACGATCCACAGATGGTCGCCCACCTGATGTGGTTGTTCTTCTTCTCCATTATTTACTGCCTTGACGTAAAAGAAAGGTGCTGCAAACGTCACACTCAATCTACAGCATAGATATGTTTGTACCCCAACGAGGGACAAAATCTAGTATTGGTGGTCTCACCGATAGCGGCGTGTCGCAGCCGACAAAAACGTACGATAAGCAATTCATTCGGTTTAAGGAAGCTATGGTGGATCGAACCACCTGTGGACTACCAAGCGCTCAACACGACTTTCTTTTGGTGCATTTTCGACTTTCTGACTTACTGCGGACCCTCGCCTTGGTCTATCCACTGAGCTGATCGTAGCCGTGGTTATTTTTCCGTGGTATGCTCATTCTGGAAAGCGTGCTCGTTCTGTATTTGTGGAAGAACCGCCGACAATACCTCTAATTACGACGATTTCTTTGATTGTCTTTTAATATGTACGGCATCCATTTGTTGAACTTCTCCCACATTCCAATTATCTCTGGGTGCTCTGAAACACTCGAAATGCTTACACCGATTTCTTCTTCCAGTTGTTGGAGAGTAGTTCATGTATTCGCTTCTGCTTAACCCTTCAGTCCGTTGTCTTCAATAACAGAAGGACGTCGGCGACATCCCTCACCTTCAAGGTCGAATTTTTGGAATCAATATCGCACTATACGTTCGTCATCACTTTCGCGCCCCACCAATGCTTCGAGCCGATTGCGCTGCATTACTCCGGGTTTGAATTCGTAGAAGCAGATTTGTCGAAAGCGCTGTTGAGATGTCCGATCTTCTGAGCTTTAGAATCTGTCAGAAACAGTTTATGTTAAAATTCAACTGTACTTAACGCAAGACGCAAGCTTATAAAATGAGCGTTGCAGTAGTTTATAATGGCGCAGATTAGAAGAAAGAACCTGCTAAAGCATGTACACGAGAACTAATGTTACTGATCAGACTTCAATTTCCGAGGAACTCGATGGCATTTAGTCAAAGTCAAGTGATTAGAGGCGCGCCGTACTGATATACAAGTGCGACATACACTGTGTGCGATCTGTCCCACCGCCGGGATCGGCAAATGGAGACTATTTTGGGAGGATTAGAATTTTGACTTGGTACATCGGTAGGCCACAGCGAGTTAATGTATGCGTCAGGTTTTATTCTATCACCTCTAACGATGCTTGATAAAGTCGAATTTATGCAGCATCCCTCAGCAATTGGTCAACTCCAAAAGCTTTATCTTTTATTCGCTGAAGAAGAGGAGGGGGACACGTTTCAATTGACGTGAAGTATGCGTAGTAGGACATAAGGAATACGTGGATTACAAAAATATCAATGTCATTGTTGAAATACTCGGAGCTCGGATTATGGGGCAAAACATGCAAAGACTATAGAAAACAGTTGTAGCCATTTATGAGAAGTATCACAGACGATTCAAATCGTACGACTTCTACCATACGCGGCAAAAGTATAAGCATCGTCCTCTCCGTCAAAAGTTAAGCGAGCTCTTGAATATCTTAATATTACCATAACCATTACATTGGTGAAAATTCCTTTTCTGACCATGCCCTTATAGACGGCCGTTTCAGACATATTCGTGTCCTTGGGCCTAGTAAGTCACGATTTGTCTCACACTCTCGACTGCATGCCGGTCGTCCAGGTTCTGTCGACGACTTTATTTTACCTCCAGTTTCAGACCTTAACAAACTCATTAATAGTTGTATGGCTATTCGATAGTGCTATTATTATATTAGTAGTAGATTGTTCAGGAAATAATCATTGTTTTTAAGTGTCAATTTCGAATGTACATGTTTTAGCTCATAATAGACTGTATTGTTGAGAATAAAAACGATGAAGAACTATAGTATTTTACCAATAAATTGTAATTTGACAAAGAGTAGAATTCCAGGTTTATAGGGTGCATAAAAGCCCTATTTGCAGTGACTTGGTGCTTGAAGAGTTTTTCAACAAATAGTTGTAACTACTTAGGAAACTAGTATATTGTTTTCAACATGCATAGCTGTATCACGTATCCATGGTTTCGTATCCATAAATTTTGTTTTAAATATTTCCACTAATTGCTGTGCCAGCTGTGATGAGGTGTCGATTCGCAACCAACGGAGTGGCTATGCAATACCGGGCGTAAACGTTGTGGTTCATTGTCTACCTTGTCGTTCCTCTGAAAAATTTTCTGTCGTAGTCGTCTTGTGAAGATCGTAGAAGCTTTCTTGGATCATTCCACTGGCCACTAAAGGATCACCATAGCCGTTTAAGCCACTTTGTCTTCGTGAAGTGTTGTGCTTCCTTGTCGGTGCACAGGATCCATGTTTAGTCAGACGTGACAATGTTGTCAACACACAGGATAGTTCATGTACCTCAAACAGAGCAAAATACAGTCTTCGTAATGACGCTGTCGTTCTCGTTTTCGTTTCATAGCACGAGCAGTAGGAAAATCTTTGAAAACACTGTACATTTACTTGCTACGTAAATTCTCACCAAGATTTTAAAAATTTGAAGGTTCCAAATGTGTAAAAAAAAGGTGACTGTCTATTTGTCTCCACATCCTTGACAAACCATTGCCGGAAGGAAACGATAGGGTACCTCCTTGTGATCCGGAAGCCAACAAAGCCCTCCACGATCTTCGAACAACCAATCGCATGAGGATTCAACAAATTTCGTGCGATTATCAATCAGTCTTATGTATGGAGCTACGACCAGTTAGACATGGCAAAATAGCTGATTGACCGAAGTTAATAGACTCCAGAGTGTTTGAATACTTGCAAAACATTCTACGTAGCATTTTACGGAAACAACAGGAAGATTAACTCAAAAAAGATCTTAATCCTTGGGGATGCGCCACGCATTCGACCTCATGATACATAGTCAGAGGTGCCTGCATGCATGTCAGGCCTGTGCAATGACCAGCGGTGGTCTGCCGATGTATCGAACCATTGCTGCTTTCTTCCTAGACAGGTCTGGTACCAATTTGCCGATCCTGGAGTGATGGAGGGCTTGGGTAGCTCGGAGCGCCGTGTTGAACCAATGTGTATCGCAAGGCACCTTAGTCACCGCCCTACGCGCGCCCTACAACGAAAGTACATTTTAGAAAAATCGCTTGGTGGAGTGGAGAATGATGTGGTAAGTTTCTTAGGTCAATAAAGATGCCATGACTTATGTGTACTTGGAAGACATTAACAGAACTCGAATCTCGGAGGGAATGCGCCACGTTCTACCTCACAACCGTGCCTCCGACCAGTTAACAAATAGATTATCGCGCTAAGAACCTTCTATTTATCAGCTGATTATTTCTACCCCGTACTGCAGTAATACACTAACTTTTTAACTACTCTAAACACCCAAATCGGACATTGTATTTCATACCTTGGACAAATATTTCGCTTTTGTGTTATACCTTATTCTGTGAGCACATTTAGGCAAGCCAGTGATTAGTTAGTTGCCGAATCGGTGAGGTCAGTGGTTAATAAAGAATAGTAAGTGTGGAGTAAATCACGAGAGGAAGGAAAAGTATCCAAGGAAAACCTACAATATGCGTAAACTGGTTATCCGACCACATCTGCGTTTAGCATATTGTTGGTCTTGATTATGGGATTTGGGTTTCTCACCTTCTCTTAGCGATGTTCAACTGCTATCAATTACATCAACAGAATCCCTTGTTTTGCCTTTCTTTCAGTCAATTCCTTAGTTTATCAGTGTTATTAGTAATTATTCTTAAACGGGAACGATTTGCGAAGCATAAATGTATAATCAACCCAATTAATCTGGAGCTGCAGTAGCTATCATAATGTTTTAACCTTTATTTACATTCGCTAGTGCGGCCAATAGCACGTGAGCTCCGGTAAAGGAGGGTCTGAAGCCCACATGAGTTTCTGGGTTTTGTTCAGATCTCAGCATCCTTGTGATAGAAACACAGTGCCTCACGATGTAGAACCACGGGTCAATCTGACGATGGTAACCAGGGATAATAATAGGCTTATTACGGAAATAAATCCTGTTTCCTATTCTCAACTCCTAGCGTTTTTTTTTCATGGTGGTGAATTCTTCATATTGTAGATGAATTTAACGCACACCTTTCGCCTCAGATACCTACATCAGTGTACGTGCTTTCATATCACCTTGTTTTTTCTTTGAAGTAAGAATTTGGCTAAAATATACAGAAATTGTGGTCTTTCCTACAAAAAGCTCTTCGGTAAGCTCTCGAACTGCTGTCCACGGATCTGCCTTAAGTAACCTCTTCGAAGAGTCACCGTCAGTGGCTGCGATTATTGCGATTTTTGCAAGACACTTCGTATTTCCGTGCTTTTTAATGTCAACCGTGAAGGATTCGAAGCAATAGGACGCGTACTAGCATTAACGGTATCAAGTGTAGAGTTGACATATCGAGTTGCTTTTGCTCAACATTGAATTTGAGTAGAATGGTTGCTCGAGTTTTCACCTCAGCTTTATTCCAATAGCAGAAATGTGTCATATCAAGTGAACTACAAGCAAAAGTTTCACCGAATTCAGTCTTGCATTTCTTTTGCGCTACGAAATCCATCCGCTCACTTGCTGCATAACATCATACGGCTGAAAATGATTCTTCTACCACAACCGTAGACGTTCTGCGCCAGATTCGATAAAAGCAAGCACAAAAATTTTACGGGCTCAAATCTACGTCAGAAGAAAGTATGATGACTGTTTTGTGTTGAGTATAATGAATCATCTTTTGGCCAAGTGTTTCGCTTGGGCACGTCGCTCTCCTTATAAACTTATCTCGTGGGGTTACTATTTCGTAGCCATTGGAGATGGTTATTTGCCGAGCCAAGTCGCGCGACTCCCCCTTTAGTTCCCTCCCTGGTAGTGCACCCAGAGGTCACTGTTCGAAACATGTCTCTCACAGTCGCTCTCTTTGTGTGTAAACGATTTCTTAACGTTCAAGTCAACTTATCAAGTAGCGGTTACGTGACAAAATGGCACCGAAAACCAAGTGACAAAAACATCCGTTTATTTCCTCCCTTCCCATCCTTCACACACAAAGAGGACGATTGTGAGAAACATGCTTCGAACATCCACCTCCGTGTGCACGAAGAGGGAGCTAACGGAGGAATCGCGCGACTTTGGCTCGGCAAATAGCTTCTTAGACTCCAATTGCTACGAAATAGTAACCCAACGAGATAAGTTTAAAAGGAGAGCGACCCCCCAAAACCAAACACTTGGCCAAAAGAAATTCCCGTTTGTGTTGTCCTTTATTAGCGATGAAATAAGCGGAGCTATAAAACGGTGCTTAAGAAGGGCAGGTCTAGAGGAATCGGTTGCGATAGTAGAAATACCACCCGATACTCTTCGTCGTCAGCTAGTTCGTAACCGCCTGTATGGCCGCCTATGTGGAGCAGAAAACTGCGTAATTTGCCCTTTTGGCAAGGACGGTGACTGCATGAGTTCAGGCACGGTATACTTGATCTCTTGTAGTACTTGCGGAGACGAATATATTGGGGAAACGGGCAGGCCTTCATGTAAGCACATAAAAGAAAAGAAGGAAAGAAAAGGAAAGAAAAAGCGATTGCTGAGACAGAAAACGACGAATTTATAATCTAATGCCGAGGTTAATAGAAAGTCGATTCTGGAAACTGAAGATATAGAAATAAAAATTCAAGAAGCTGCTCAAAGACCGTGCAACAACGTCAATGCAATGGTAAATTTGCACAGATATATGAAGACATCATTTAATCGTTGCAAGGAATATTCCTCGAAGGGCGCGTATGGGCACAGTGGTCGCAGGCGCCCTGCAACATCAAACGTGGAATCGTTTCCCGCTCCCATGGCCCACCAAGCTTTCCATCCCTCTGGGGTCGGAAAACTGGTACCAGGTCTGTCTGGGATGATAGCAGCTCTGATTCGATACATCGGTAGGCCGCCGAGAGTTACTGTATAGACCATATATGCATTCAATCACCTTTAACGATATATTCGATCACCATAACGTTTGGTGAAGTCGAGTGCATGACACATCCCTCAGGGATTGATCAACGCCGATAGCTCCATCCTTTTTATCTTTACGATGGGAGGAATTCCGCTCGTTATAAAGTACTGCTGGTTACTACAACAGCTATAATCTCTTCACACCACATGCACCCATTTATAGAATAATTCCATATATAACTACCTCTAATCCGCGAAGGTGTAGAATTACATGGCTTCAAGACCTACTCTCTAGCGTAGGATGTCATTTTGTTCAGTGGAGTGTTGACATGTTTACTTACAGTCGTGTTTTCTACATAAAAGAAATCCGTCTCAGTAGAAGTGGAAGCGCGTGAAAATAATGGTAATGATGCAAAAATTTCTTTGCTTTCAAATAGCATTCCTGTCCTACGACAGCACCGTAAGTATGACTGGATGGAAGTTCAGATGAATTGCAGTATAGCTATAGGAGCCATGATCCATCTATATCTATTACATTCAGTAGATGACTACAAATACAGAAGTCACCTAGCACAACCACAACTATGCTGAGAAAAATCTGCTGTTCTCTTTTTTACAGCAATCGCGAGGTTGTTATTCAGCACCTATTCAGTTATTCCTCACAAATATAACACATAAACACACAACACAACGGTAGCTGACGTTTCAGCAGTACCACCTTCTTCAGAGCTTGGAAGGGTACACTAATATGTAAGTTACTAGGTCAGACGTTTCAACAACGCAAGCAGAAAGATGAAAATCGGAACACCAATTACACGATCACCGGCTTCTCGGAAAATCCGCCGTTTTAACCTGCCTTCCACCAAGGAGGAACAGCCGCTTAGAGTCGCACGATTGCTGCACCACCCCACATCAAAAATCAGTTCTGCGATACGGGGAGAGATCACGTGTTATCTCAGGGCATTCTTCTCTGCTATTCATTCTCGGATTTTTGGAAATTATCCAAAAAGCCTCGAGAAATTTGCGCTTTGGTGTTTTAGTTTCTCGTGCGATGAAAGCGACTATCTACCAGTGCCATCATCAATCACCCGTCAGCGGGAATGATCCAAGGAGCATAAATTGGCACTGAACCCAGTTAAGCTGAGGCTGTAGTCGAAGCAGAGTTGTGCTTCCTAATTTCAAATTACTGCACTAATTTTTTCAAGTCTTAAACTGAGTCAAGCTGACTCATGGGCTCTCTCTTTTCAATGCGATCATTCTTCACATTTGGAGGTAAAACTCAGACTTTTGTGGCACTACCTGTCACTGGTTTATACAAGGCTTGCAATACTTAGGGTTGATGACATGCTCCAATCCACCACAATCTTCCTCGTCACCTCCAAGGGGAAACTCGTCCGCGACTACATCCTTCAGTTGGACCGACTATGGAGGGTGTGTGTGTTCGTTTTCCGTTGCATCAGCGAATTGTCCAGTAATAATTTCATAATCAGGTTCTGAGTGAATTTTTTTTTCAGAATGTATGGAGTGCTCGTCATTGGAGCACCAGGTGCCGGAAAATCCACGTTTTGCGCCGGGCTGGTGGATATTTTCAGCCAAATCAATCGGCCTTACTTCACTATTAATTTGGATCCGGCTAACAATTTAGTTCAGTACGATGCAACATACGATATAAAGGAGTTAGTGGCAGTTGAGGAGGTGATGGACAGACTTGGTGCGTTCTCTGTTCTTTCGAAAGCCTGAGTTCTGCTCTATAGCTGTTTTCTTTTCAGGCATGGGACCAAATGGTGCTCTCAAATATTGTATCGATACCTTGTGTAGGAATCAAGACTGGTTGTTACGGAAGATCCAAGATAACAAGGATAAATACGTAATCCTAGATTGTCCTGGACAGCTAGAGTTGTACAAGTGTGAAGGCGAGTTGTGGAAGGTTCGCATATGGACATACATTCTTTCTGTCTATGCCTTTTTCGTTTCGATCTATTTACCTTATGTTCGTGCTTGAGTTATTTCACAATTTCGAACGTGTTGGTGTCCATCTATGTGCTGTTCATCTTGTCGACGCCCTCTACTGTTCCGATGCAGCCAAGTTCATTTCTGTTGTTATGTCGACGTTAGGTGAGTGTGTCGTTTTACTTGGACCATATTGAAGTATTTCGCATCTTACTGGACCACCCGTCCTCACTGGTTGTGCCGGCTCCAGCTTATTCTCCATTTTTCGGAGTTTTGCTGGTTTAGCCATTGTGTTTCCTTAGAGTCCCGAGGTCAGCAGGACCGAAGTCTGCCACAGGTCGTCACCACCATAGACAGTCGCCGCCCTTGTGGATCAGAGGAGGATTTCCTACTGTGCAACTACTTTGATTCCAGAGTGGTGGTGGATTCAGGTACTGGTTTATTCTTAGCTGGGCTTCCTGATGGAAACGCCGGACTCCTTCTTAGCTTCGGTGACCCTTTAGCGGGGATGAATCCCTTCGCTGTACGTCGCATTCCGACACCTAGGAACAACTAGCCACGATGAGGAGGTGAACCGTTGGGAGGTACGCTTTGTACTCCACTTGTACTCCACGGAAGTGTACTATAAGCGTCATTGCAGTTTACGCTAGATTTTATCCAAAGTCATGTTTGATGCTTTTAAATGAATGCGTATTTTTATTCTAGCGACTATGGTGACAATGGAAATGCCGCAGATCAACGTCCTCTCTAAAGTGGACCTATTTGACGAAAACGCATCGTTTAACCTTGAATACTTCATTGAATTGCCGGATGTGAATCGACTGCTTGAACTACTAAATGTGGGTGATGAGTTTACCTGAACTGGCATACACATTTTTTGCTAACTGTGACATCGAAGTAGCCAATTTAATTTGTTTTCCTGTGCATCTTTATTATAACCATACTTTATTCTACAGTGCAACCCATACGTTGAATGATAACGGCCTCTACGTCCATAAAGAGAGTACCGAGTTTGTTCCCGTAACTGCGGCAGCCCCCATGCAATTGACTGCTAGAATTTCGATTTGAGAGAGTTGAATTTATGAACCGCTGGAAAGGAAGGAGGCCTTTGGAACTGGCATAAAATCGAAATCAAAAGGTTTGAAATTAAGGCAAGATATGGTCCGATTTTAGGTGAGCGTCTCTAGCTGCTGACAAGCTGCCGTTGGCATGTGGAATCACTAGCGGAAGAGAAATTCAAGGTTGCATGAATTGCTTCTCTGTTGTAGCAGCAACTAACGAATAAAGCTGGCAGTCCCACCCGTAAAAGCATGGCTCTGAGAAAAACGAAATTGCTATAACGTCAGCCATCGGCCAACTGCAGAAACAGCAATAACAAGAAGCAAACAAAATAGCAACGACAGCTACATCAGCTTCGCATCAGCTCAGCAAGATTAGTTCATAAGAACACATGAATAAATACGGATAAGGACATTTCTTGCGTATGGTCACAGCACTGCACTGGTCATCCAACTGCATTTCCAAAACACAGCTTGCCTCGCCGCACCAACAGGAAGCAAGAAGCAAAGACCTTACCGATATTTTGGTTCAATCACTGCTGTTTAGTCGAATGTTTCAAGCTTCTCCAACTAGGAAATGCGATAAAATGGCAAGTGGTACCAACATTAATTTATTCACATTTACTGCTTTAATGGGAATTTAAAGACGGAGAAATCCTGGTCCAATATTTTACTTCGCAAACTCTACTTTAGAGTACAACGTACAAGATTACGTTCTGAACGGACGCGATCCAATCACGCTCGTCGACTACGAAATGGACCCGTTTTACATGAGAATTCGAGCTATATTTATTTATGTGGTCTTATAAACTGATCTTCTTAAGCTGACGCGTGGTTGGTACAGATCTTCGTTGTCGTTGTCGTTGTTTCTGATGTTATTGATCGATGGCTGATGTTTCGGCGACTTCGCCTTCCTCAGAGCCTGGACGTATTTTATATTAGAATGTTTTTATTATTCGGTGGAAAAGAAAGGTTAAAGTGTTAATGAAGACCAAACTTTCAAATAGACGCCATATTGAACAGAAAGGCCACTCACCGTGATGTTACGTGTGGGACTGGTCCACGCGTTGTTTTCGTGGAGTCGCGAGCAAGACAGATCTCGGGGTCAAAATATCATTTTGAAATAGGGCGCCAGGTCACGCGTGATAGTGAGGCATTCGTCTTCCCAGTTTCATGAACCATCGTTAGAGGTGCATATCTGGTGTGTACAATGAAGTGCGGTGAACGACCGCAGTGGATGTATTAAGCCACTACTGCTATCCTCCCACATCGTAGCATTATGCGAGCCTTTAGTTTATTAATGGTTGGAAAGATTTCTTCGATGGCTATTCATATGCATGACGACCATATGAGTGTTAGAAGTCCTGTTTGTCTAAAATCCTTTCCACATGAAGGTGTGTGATTGTCTGATATGTGGATTTCGATTGGAATAGTGCATCTTGTTCCAGATTTTAGTTCATCAAGCCATTGATGGCGTAATTTTGCCTCGTAGTGGTGCAGCCGCGATAGCAGTATCCGTCTGCTTATCTTTGTATAGTGATAGAAGGTCGACCTTCACCGTTCATTATATTCGAGCGAGCACTGCCGCCGGTGTCCTATGGGACTTTCGATGGTCGTTCTACGAACATTGAAATATGAGAACCTGTTTGACGCGGTGAAGTCGTACACAGTGTTTCTGCACATAGTGCAGATAAGTTTGGCACGCGTTAACGTATGCTTCTGGGGGTGGTATGTGACCAAGATGCGTTTGATGACTTTTTTCGCTTGATCGGTGATCACTGATGCAACGTTTTGCAAAATACCCAAGAAAATACCAAGGTCCTTTCAAACAGCTGTATTGCTTTCACCCTTAACACAGCAATTGCATTTTTAGGATGTTCCCGGTCTAGAACGGTATCACGCATTAAATACGGCCATCTGTGACGTACTATCAAATTTCGACATGGTGAATTTCGTTCCTCTAAATGTACAAAGGAAAGAAGATATGGCAAACGTGCTGCGTTTAGCAGATTCAGCGAATGGATGGGCATTCCATGACGTTAGTGATATAAGGGAATTGGTAGTGAACCAATAGGATCAGCTCTCACATATTTTTCTCAGATACGAAGCCTAGGGTATGTTGTATATTACCACTACAACAGGTGGTGTTATTTGTTCAGTTCTTATGACTGCTAATGACGAGGTATTGTCGTCTGTGTTTAACTTGGTGTTACTGTATTCAGTGTACCTTGCAAAGAACAGAATAGATCTCATGAGAAATACACTTGACTGCAACTCCTTCATATTTTATATCAAGGCATAAATTTGGTAAACAAAAAATAGTAATTGTGTCATAACTTGAGGAGAAATATGTTGTGGGTAGATGTTATACTTTATACGAGCCATTTATAGCATCGCAATCGTATAGCTGCATAACATCATACGGCTAAAAGTGATTTTTCTACCACAACCGTAGATGCTCATTTTACGGGCTCGAATCTACGTCAGAAAAAAAGTATGAGACTGTTAAGTGTTGAGTATAATGAATCATCTAACATAACTTGTTGATCCTTAGGTAGGCCGTAGCTGCAGGGAAGAGTAGTTAAGAAGTCGCAAGAGCTGCCACTTCTACTATAAACATTGAACACTCGAAATAAGCTGTTCTCTTGTACTATGACGCCTTAACAAGCACTACATATCGAGCGAATTCAGATTAGTAATGGAGCATTACCATTTAAACCATGAGGGAATAATTATTGTTGTCTAATATGAATCGCTGAATAATTAGGTAGTAGGAGTCGCATTGCTTCACGCTTTCGCCTCTCCTTCATTTCTAATTCATTTCTTCTAGTACAATACAGCATCATACGCTATAACACAATGCAATGTATGATATCATATACGATTTGATCAATCGCTCAGGGAAGTGCTATGCATACGACTTCATTAAGCATCGTTTGGAGGTGATTGAATGCACATATCTGGTCTTTAGAATAACTCGCGGTGGCCTACCGATGAATCGAGCCAGTGCTGCTCTGCTCTCATAGAAGTCTGGTACCAGTTCGCCGACCCTGGAGGGATGGAAGGATTAGTGGGCCATGGGTGCAGGGGTCGATTCCATGTGCACTGCAAAACGCCTCCGATCATTGCGCTATACGCGTCCTATATGGTACCGTTTGATATAATCTGTACAATATCGTATGCGAGTATGCGACCAATATTTAACGCATTTGTGACAATATATTATTTGGGCACATCGGATCATACTAACCAACGTACACAGACCCAGACACACGCACACAGACACGGACATACACACATACGCACACGAACACACACACACATACATATACGCAAACATATACACACACATACACACACACACACACCATACACCATACATCATACACATGTGCGGACCCTATCACTTCTCGCATTTGATTCGTTTCCTCGCATCCACTATCCACGAAGGCTTTCCATACTTCTTACGTCTGGTTTCGGCTGTTACGTGAGCATTTCCCTTTTGTCATGAATGAATACTGGACGACTCGATTCCCCCTGGAGTCCAAAGATAGCCAGACTAGAGCGTTCCTATATAGATCGCAGAGAGTGATCCTTTCTCAGACAACTCTGGTACCTGTTTCCCGGTTTCGGAGGAATGTAAGGCTTGATGGGCAAGGAGCGATATCGAACGACCATCGTGCTTGTAATGATCGGCCTCAGTACCATTGTGCCAATAATAACGTTTAACATGTTCAACCCTCGTCCAGCGTCCAGTCGCAGTGCTTTCAATATTTGGAGGTTTTTTTTCAATTTATTTCTAGTCTTGAAAACCGACTTTCATTTAACTTTGGTAATAATAATCTAGGAAATTTGGTCGAGTATATATCGGTGTTTCTTATACCTGGCCATTCCATACAATAACGGTGCTCATAGTAACGACTGACAACGAATGAAGTAGTGATTTTCTGCTTAGGAAATGAGCTTTCTATCCCTCAAATTATGCATGGTGTGGTTTTTTCAATATCTGGATGAATTGAAAAATTGAAAACTTAACAGATTTGTGGACGAGAAATTGTTCTATCTTTCTAAGGGTGTACACATTGTAATTCACTAACTTTACCATCTCGAAGTCGTCCATCATGTTGTATCGACGTTATTGGTAAATAGCTGAATTTCATAGCTTTTAATCAGTCACTGGATTGTTAGTTAACCTTGGACGATTTCTCAACGAACGACGACGGTGAGAAGTTGAGGAATAGGAGCTCGATTTGGAGCTTCCGTGCTTTACTCCTTGTTGAAGGTCTGAAGGAATTGACCTGGTAAATATTTATGGCCATGGTGAATATGATTATGAATAACTCAGTGGAGAGTGGTGGAAAAATGTAGGGTCTCAGAACCACTCTTCAATGAGAACGAAACCGATGTGAAGCGCCAATTCTTTTCTTCTTTGTACAGAAGCATCATGTTATTATGATTTATTTATGGCCGATATTTGAGGTTGCGATTGTGAGGTGAATAGATACTCAGTAAACAAGGTGCTGTGGGAAGCGACAACTTTTGATGGGATGGAAAGATTCATTAGTCTCTGCCTCAATAGTGGCGCTATTTGAATGAAGCATGTGACGAATATTGGAAGTTCCAATCCTGCTCTTGCATGCACGCATGTTCTCATCGACCACATTCTGGTAAACAGAAGATGGTGCCTACTTGGCACATGGGTAGTTCCGTTATTCTGTACTGGTTCCGACCACTGCCTTCTTCACGCGAAGATTCGATTCAGCCGCAAGCTGGAAAAGAACTCTTCATCGAAAACGAGGAAAGTGTTTAGCTGTATACGACGAGAACATTCTGAACGAAATCCTGTCCAAACGTTGGCAGATTAAAGAAGACCCGACCGAAGACTACGAGCTGCTTGTCGAAGAATTGAAAAGCTGTGTCGAATTCGCCTTAGTTTCTGAAGCAAGAAGATCGGATCGCATCTCCATCACTACTAAGGAGTTGCTCAAAAAGAGAAGGAAACTGAAGCTTGGTTCCACTGCAACACGTTTAGAATGGCTAGTAATAAATTGCAGTTGCAGAAGAGTTTTGCAGGAAGATCGACAACGGTACAAGCAGAAGAAAATACTGGAAGCAGCAGAGAAAAGAAGCATTTTGAAAAAACGCCGTCGGGACTTCTGTGATTATAATGTTCCGCTGTCAGCCGTGATGAACGAACGCGTTCACCACCACACCATGCCGGTCCTTCGTTTTGCTTGTCTCTCAGCTAGTTCTATCGATCTTTTGCCATCAGCAATCACCTGTCAACGGCATTGATAGAAAGCAAGGAAACGAAGGACCTGCATGGTGTGGTGGTGAACGTTTTACTCCCCGGAAAGGACAATAACGCGCTCGATCCCCACTGCAGACACCTGCGTTGCGGAGTTTTGGAATTATTTCAGCATTATAGAAGTTATATTTCGCAACATACCCTGCAGTTAAAAAGAATAGGCAGTAAATAAAAGGCTAAGAAGGTAGGATCGTCAAATGTTCCCGCCATGATATGGAAGTAGTAGCGGAAACGTTCTACACCAACCTTTTCCGTTCCACAATCCGCGTCCCAGACTCTAATATCTCCGCTGGAGAAAAACCACTTGGAATTCTTCCGTCGGAGGCTCGATTTGCGATAGAAAGCATGAAAAGAGGCACAGCTCCGGGACCCGATAACATTGCCGCCGACTTCCTTAGAGCTGGAGGCCACAATTTATATGTACTTCTCGCAGATCATATGACAGCCTACCTTCAAAAGGAAAAATCCCAGACCAGTGGAGAACGTTGGGCACGGTCATCTTGCCCAACAAAGGAGACGGAAGGGATCTTCGTAACCATCGTCCCATATGCTTGTTGAGTTTCACTACAAGCTGTTCACGAAGATTATCCTCTCGCGCATATCATGGACATTGGATGAGGCACAACCAATCGAGCAAGCGGGATTTCGAAAAGGCTTTCGCTGCATGGACCACATCCAAATCGTGTCGAGGGTCATCGAAGTTTGCCGGGAATACCACTAGCCTCTGGTCCTAACCTTTGTCGTCTATAAAAAAGCGTTTGGTAGTGCCGAAACGAATGCAATCCTATCAGCACTCGTCGACCAAGGAGTGGACCCGTCCCACATAAGAACTCTATCCGACTGTTATCGGAACTGCACTACGAAAATACAGCTTTTCCATCGACCTCTTACAATACACATAGAAAAAGAAGTTCGACAGGGCGACACAATATCGCCAAAGCTGTTCAGTTCCCCACTGCAGTGGATAATGAAGTCACTTGATTGGGATGAGAAAGGCATACGTATTGATGGAAAATTCCTATCAAACCTTCGTTTTACCGACGACATTGTCATCTTCTCAAGAAGTACTAGCGAAGCAGAGATGATGCTATTCGAATCGCGCCCAAGAGATGTCCACAAAATTTTGGTGTGATACTGTTTTGATAACAAGAAATCTAGCGCTCTTCGTAGTGGCTTATGAACGATGCAAATCCTCTTTTATCCAAGAACTCAGTACAGGGTAATGTTTGTCAGACCGAATATCACTTAAGCTTCATAGTAATAGTCAATGCGTCCTTGGATCCTAACGATGCGTCCTAACGTAAGGTTGATAAAGCTGCTTATTCGGCTGACATCTCGACGTCTTCGCCTTCATCAGAGCTGATGATTCGAGTCGATGGTCCACAGTTTTTCGTCTTCTCGATGTGGCGTCTTCTTCGTCGTATCGAATAGGATTTTCTTCAGTGGAACACCGCACGAAAGAGACGACCTCGTCCGATAGCGCTTTCCAAGCCGGTAATCAACCAGAATTCGAAGAGAGAACACAATAGAGTCGAATATAAGGATATTGAGCTGGAAAAGTGGACTATTATGATGTGCACAGCTCATGGCGCAATGTTTTCCTTCAACTCAGGTAGACTGTTGATGATTGAAAGTCTGAAAGCTATTTCCTTGGAAGCGTAAGTGCTTCCGCACCGTTAACTTTACATTTTCTCAGGAAAAGAGATACTAATGGACCAAGAACATGAGGGCTGTATATAGGATGTTACAAGACTACGAAAAATCAC